AATAAACAGAACTCTCAAAAGCTAGATTACAAAAATTTCAAAAAACAACAAAGAAAGAAGGAACCTGCAAAAAATACAGAGAAATAGAAGCGTATGATATTAGCCCAAGAACATCAAAACTTTCAATCATGGAGTTGTTACGCAAAAACAAGGTAGTAGAAAAACGAAAGTTTGGGTTCCTGTAGATCTCTGGAGCTCATGTTAATTTTGCAGGAAGGACCAAGAAAAACGATAGATATCGGGAAGAGTGAAGAAAGCGTCCTTGTTGCGGAATCCGTTGACAATTCACGATATACTAACTCTCGCCTCGCAATAATAATAAAAATAATAATAATAAAACAGAATTTAGGATACATCCATGGGAGTTAGCTCCCGAATCAATTTTATGAGATCAATCATATTTTAGTTTAATGAGTTTATTTTTTTGAAGTTTAAGCATCTTGTGCATCCGCAGTTGATTCTCCAGGTGCAGGTATCGACTTCATTGTAGATTTTCTCCTAGAATTGCCAGTACACTCTTGATATTTTTGGTTTAAACGAGTCACTTAGTAGGACTTCATATTTCAGGTGATCGTGAAATATGTTTGTCAGGCTGCAGGCGCGTTGCCAGAAATCAGATTCGCATTTATGAAGTCGAAAGTTCTTCGCGTTGAAACGTCTTGTTGTTTTCGGTCGATTTGATTCAGTGATTTCTATAAATCGCCATCATTCCACGTCGGTCTTTCCTCTTAGAATGTTCGCGAACAAAAATAGTACATGCATTTCTTGGTAAAGAGACAAGGGAAGAATTTGAAGAGTGGTTAACCTCGATTTATAAGGAATTTGTTTATTTCCAAGTATCCATTTCGTTGCCCTCTGTTGCACTTTTTCTAAGGTGGCAAGATCTTGCTTTGAGGGTTTCCAGACTGATGATGCATAGCTAACGATAGGTACTACATAGCTTTTATATGAATTTTTCCTGTTGTTCATGGTTGTGGCAGGTGATAAGTTTCTTTTGATGCAATATAGGGCCTTCAGTGCTTTGCTCGCACGATTGTTTGCATGAGAAGTCCAGTTAAGATTTTTTGACATTATCCAAGATCGTTAGGCTGTTCGAATTTGTACGGGAATATGCTTAGGTTGCACTCGCCCTCAATTACTAGTGTTTTGCTCATGGTCATATTGAGGCGCATTTCATTGGTTTCACACCACTTCCAGACTTTTCTAATATCGATGTGCAGGGTAGTCGGGTCGGTGCCCATAATTTTATAGTCATCCGCATAGCCGTAGCACGATGACATGACACATTTTGGCAAGTCGTTGATGTATACTAAGAAAAGGAGTGGCCCTAGAATAGATCCTTGCGGCAATTCACTATAAATTGGCAGTTGGCTTGAGACCGAGCTGCCGATGCGTACTGTTTGGCTTCGACCTGTCAGGTAACTTTTGATTGAATCCAATATTGGGCCTGTTATTCCAGCTCTGCTGAGTTTTTCGATCGTTATATTGTGATTGTCTTTGTCAAAAGCCTTCTGGAAGTCGAGGTAAAATGACGCTAGGAAGTGGCAGTTGCTATTGTCAAACATTTCGTGCAGGTATTCGATTAGGTTTGTTATAGATGAGCCTCTTTGCCGAAAACCGTGTTGAGATTGGGACAATGCGGTGGATAAGATTGGGTACATTCTGTCGAAAATAAGTTTCTCGAGGACTTTGGATACTGCTACGAGGAGGCTGATCGGCCTGTAATTATCTACCAATTGTTTGTTCCCTTCTTTAAATATGGGGATTATTTCGCTTGTTTTCCAGAATGATGGGAAGTAGCATTTGTTTGCAATTGTGTTGAATATGAGATGCAGTGATTTTGGTAGGGAGTCTGATAATTTTTTCAGCAGATTGTTCCCCATACGGTCAAGTCCTTTGGCCTTGCTCTCGTCCAGCGATTGGAGAACGAGTTGTATTTCTAGTTCTGAGAAATTAATCATCGACAGCTTGGGCTGTCCCTCTGTGAGAGTATAATCGTGGTGATTCTTACTGAAAACGGATTGGAAGTACTGATTAAATAATTCGGCTTTTTCGATATCGGTATTAGCTGACTTATCGTCAAGAAATACTTCAGTTGGGATTGAGCTTGTTTTCATGATAGTTTTGAGGTATTTTTGGATGTTTGAGAAGATTCCAGACTTGAAATTTTCTGTTTCATGATTGCATTGGTCAGCTGAGAGCGATAAGGACAATTCAGTTTGTAATTGCTGGATCTTTAGGGTATTTGTTTTACTTTGTCGTCTGAGAGTTTCTACTTTTTTCATGAGGTTTGAGCTCGTGGGAGAAACCCAGGGCGCTAGATGTTTCCTATGTTGGGTTGTTCGGGGTATGTGTTTGATTATAATACCGTAGATCCAATTATACCACTGATCTACCAGGAGATCAACGTTGCTGTAGCAGTATGGGTTGAAGTGGTGCTCTCGCACATATTCGTTGATTTCGTTCCAGTTGGCTTTTTTGAAGGCAAAGCCTGAAAAGTCGTACTTTTGGGAGGGTAGAGGGACCCTTTCGTGATTTATTTTGTGATTCATATGTAACTTTGAGCCGTAAGGTGGGTGATCTGAGGTGAAGTCGTTTTTGAGCCGATTGTCCATGTATACGTCTAGTATGATATCAGGATTTTTGCAGAGCAGGATATCCAGGCTCTTTCCAGTATCGGTTATGATGAATTGTTCCAGGTTTAATTCCTGGAATTTGTCTAGGATGCTTTGTTCGTACTCGCATTTTGATGAGAGTGATTTCCAATTTGTACACGAGAAGTTGATATCTCCAACAATGACAAGATTTTATATGCCTTGCTCGCGTTGTGTTGCTTTTATTAAGTTCAGCAATGTGTTAAGTTGATCTAGTGACCATCGGTATGGGCTATACACGGGGTCACAATATATACAGCAGACAAGTATTGGTACAGATATCTTGAGTTGAACCATTACGAAGTCTTGCATGCCTGTATCAATGCGGTTATGTGGTATGTTGGCGTTGATGCCATTAGAACTCCTCCGTGTTTTGATAGACCGGCTTTTGAAGTTCTTCCAGATCGATAGAGTTCAAATTGAGGCAAGAATATGGAGTTGTCTGTTAGGTCGTTGGTTAACCATGTTTCGGTTAGGCAAAGTAGTTGGTATTGACAGCTTGTAATTATCGTATTTGCGAAGTTTGATCTTCGATTGTAGTCGAGTATGCTTCGGACGTTGTAGATGAGTAGGCTAGGAAAGAATTCTAGTCAATTGGAGATTGAGTTCTCCGTTTTTTCGGTTGCAACTGCTGTCCATCTGTTTTCTATTTTCTGGTAGAGCTTTCCATCGCGGATGCGCAGGTTTTGTTTATCGATGTTTCGGTTATGAGCTCCCGCCGTTTTTGCAGTGCTTGATTTTCAAGTTTTGCTTCATCCACTGATAGCTCGCGGCTGACAAACACAGGTTTGTCATATGTTTTTAGGCGGCAAGCGGATGATAGTATTAGTCGTTTCTGCCAAATTGGGACTTTTACCAGTATGGTTCGGTCCTTGCCTTCCTGTCGTTGACCCATCCGGAACAGATCAACTATCTCTGGCACAATTTGCATGTGCTCCAAGATTTCCTTTACTTGTTGGAGGTCATTTTCTTGTCTTTTTATTTGATCTTTGTCGTTTAGTTCAGGGATGCCGCGGATGCGGATTCCGTTTTGATTTTCTTGTTTCGGCGTTGCGTTTATCGGTACCTTGGTTTTTGCTTCTGATTTGATCTCATTTGGCTTCATTGTGGTTTGGGAGAACAGCGTTTTAATCTCCTGTACGTTCTTTCTGAGTTCGTCTATGTCCTCTTCAATCTTCTTGAATTGCTTCGGCGAGGTTTGTTCAGCGTCACTGACTGTTTTTCGGAGTCTCTCATATCCGTTGGAATCCACACATTTGTTGCAGAGTAGAGCAATGTTTTTTCCCAGTGTCGTAATACCATTGATTGCTGTATCGCTTAGGCTGGTACAGCTTTTCGTCAGGTGCATTTTGCAATTACACACGATGCAACAGAATGTATCTTCATTCTTTTTGATTTTTTGTTGACAAGTTTCGCATACGGAATCAGTGGTCATTTCACGATTTCGTGTCATATTTGTTTGGTGAGGACTCCGAGTCAAAAGACTCAAAGATTACATTCAGTTATATACTAATGTAGTAAATCTAGAAAGGGACTCCGAGTCAAAGGACTCAAAGAGTACAACCAGTACGAGTTTTACTAGCCGTTTTATTGTGGAGTTGCTGAGCGTTGCCTCTTCTTGGCTCTTCGTCAATTCTTCGATGGTTTGCTTTTCGTGGAGCGGGTTTTGAAGATCGCGTGAAGGTTCGGATAGTAGTGCAAGACTACCGAGAGAGATCGTAGTTCTAGATCAGATGGCTGGTGAAGCTCGCGATAAAGTCCTGTGATGTTTTCGTCTAGACTCTCTGATTTACTGATAAGATGTTTTGTAACGTCGATGACAATCGTGTCAAGAGTTCGTAGCTCGTCGAATATATTTTCTGCTCCCGTACGCTGACAGTAGACAATAGCAAACAGATTGTTAAAGCTTCTAAGAGTATCCAGGAGTTGTTGAGTCGTAAGGGTTTGATCTTTTTAAACTCTGTGATCGAATTGTTGATAAGATCGTGCCACAGTATAATAGATTTGCTCGTTGCTCGTATATAATCGGTAACGTTTTTAAATTTAAAGTTCGTCCTTGGGTTCAGGTTAAATCCCCCCTCGGCGTAGACAATTTGCTTTACTATATTTTTCTGTTCAGGGGTTAGACCTTGTTCGATTGAGTGAGAAAGGGAACTTGCGGCAATGATTTCTAACATAAAGAAATAGATAAGGAAAGAACTCAGCTGGTACTGGAGATGAAGAAAAGAAGGAAGAAGCTGTTTTCCCAGAGACCAGGTTTGTTGAATTTGGTGTAGTGCTAATCAGTAGTTAGAAATAGAGGGCCACCACGGCTGCCCTGTTATTCATTTTTATTTGAAAATAACTATTTAATAAGTTTATCACAACAATAAGGCAATACTGAAAAACAAAACACAATTAGTGTAACATTCGCCCGGAAGTACATATTGACGGAAAATAAAGCTGAGCTATAAAACGACTGGCCAGCGTCTAAACAAAGCTCTACATGCTTTTCACCGTCTCTACCAAAGTCAGTTCTTTTGGTGGTCTTTCAACATCGGGTCGACAAAAACGTTACTGCTTTCGGCCTCGGTCAAAACACTCAAATTAACTTAATTATATGCAGAAATAGTGAGCTCATGGCTGGGTCTCAGTATCACCAGACCACGAGGTCACTCCTAAAATCAGGGCTACTACTATTTATTGAATCATTATTGTTTTTGTTCAGTAGATAAAAATCATCATCTCCATCGAAGATGGATCAACCCTTTCCCTCAACTCCTAGCTTCTCATAATCAGAAAATGATTCGAGATGTTATGTAAATTCAATCCAGGGCATGACCAGGAAGCTAAAAGTTAATTTGAAATAGTATGAGTTCAGGTCTCAAGACCCCTCCGGATTCCTGAATCCGGGGAAACAACGCCCTTATTTCCTCTCCGGAAGGCTCAATTCACGGTTCCACCACCCTTCACCGTGGGCGTGAATGGCTTTGTAACGATTGTAGCGACACAATCGTTACAACTCGGAGCGGTCTCTGCTAATACTGTCGTATTTTTCTATTTCCCGTCGTAGTTTCTCTCGCAACTATCGTTATTGTTTTGTTTCTTTTTTGGTTTACTTCTAAAAATGGCCGTTTCAACGTTTCTCGGAAATATGACGTCATCATTCGAAATTTTAAAAATTTAAAATACCAGAATAACCTGACCTTCACAGTTCGTCTAAACGTTCAAATAACGTCGCTAATGTACTAGAACTGCCAATTCTCAAGGTCAGCGGCCATCAATACTAATCTGCACTTTTGTCCGTTCTGGTTGAATGTCACATACTGCCCTGACAGCCCGGTCATTGTCCCCATTGAATCTCGTAGTCTTCGTAAAAATGGTACAGTTGCATTCAATAGAATTAACAAAATGCACGAAATCACTTTTATCCACGCCATATCGACTCACTGCAGAATAAAAATGGCATCATACTTGTAACATTCGCCCGGAGGATACATATCGACGGAAAAAAAGCTAGGTTCTAAGACGACTGGCCAACATCTAAACAGAGCTCTACATGCTTTTCACCGTCTCTACCAAGCCAGTTCTTTTGGTGGTCTTTTCAACATCGGGTCGACAAAAACGTTACTGTTCTCCGGCTTCGACCAGAACGCTCAAATTAAATTAATTACATGCAGAAATAGTGAGCTCATGGCTGGGTCTCAGTATCCCCAGACCACGAGGTCACTCCTAAAAACAGGGCTAGTACTATTTATTGAATTATTATTGTTTTTGCTCAGTAGATAAAAATCATCATCTCCATCGAAGATGGATCAACCCTTCCCCCCAACTCCTAGCTTCTCATCCTTGCAAAATGAATTCAGATGTTAATTAAATTCAATTCAGGGCATGACCAGGAAGTTAAAATTTAGTTTGAAATAGTTTGAGTTCAAGTCTCAAGACCCTCCGGATTCCTGAATCCGGGGAAATAACACCCTTAATTCCTCTCCGGAAGGCTGAAGTCACGGTTCCACCACCCTTCACCGTTTGCGTGAGTGGCTTTGTAACGATTGTAGCGACACAATCGTTACAACTCGGAGCGGTCTCTGCCAATACTCTGTCGTATTTTTCTTTTTCCCGTCGTAGTTTTTCTCGCAACTATCGTTGTTGTTGTGTTTCTTTTTTGGTTTACTTCTAAAAATGGCCTTTTCGTCGTTTCTCGGAAATATGACGTCATCATTCGAAATTTTTTTAGAAAAAGAAACACGTCCCGAATACACGTCGCTAATCTGCTAAAACTGCCAATTCTCCAGGTCAGCGGCTACCAATTTGAAATTGCACTTTTGTCCATTCTGGTCGAATGTCAGATACTCCCCGGACAGCCCGGTCAATTTCCCCATTGAATCTCGCAATATTCGTAAAATTGGTACAGTGTTATCGAACAGAAGTTACAAAACGCACGAAATTACTTTTATCCACGTCATATCGACTCACTGCAGAACATAAATGGCATCATACTACATTGCTATAGCCTTCTAAATTTTTTCACTAATCTGCACTTTGAGGATATGACTTAAGATAAAAACATTTTTTCCGACTTCCAATGTCAATGCCCCGATTTAAAACTTTTCTCCTAGGGTTAAAAAGTGTTAGTTTGCAGGACAGTCCTGCCAACCAACAAGCTAAAGTTATCCTACTAGGCTTATTCCCTTCGGAAATTTAGTTGTTATTGGTCCTGAATATTAAAACAAAGGAACTCTGTGGTTCAAAAGAACAATGAAATAATCGCCCTCTTCAAGAGGTTAACCAAGCCTTTCATGTCACCACAAAGTGATCAGTTCTCCTAGTTGATTAAAAACAGTCATGCAGGCTGGAACATTTAAATATACTCTTTACTCAAGCCTTTCTGAATAAATAGTAAGTGTCTCTAAAGCCACTAACTAAAATCAAAATGCAAATTTATAAATGCAACAAATTCTTTAATATTCAAAATTCAACTAAATGTTTCAGTTTTCAATTACAACTTGGTTGCTTTGTTCCTCACTTGAGTTTTTCATACACATAAAACAATTCTGAGTTTTAACTTCTTCTCATTCGTCACTTCTTTGTTTCTTCTTTTTTCGTTGTTTAGAATTTCTAAAACTTCTAAATTCTTCTAACTTCGTCTCTTTTTGCATCTTGTTTTTTGGCCTTTTGTCAATGCTCCATCTCCTCCTCCTGCGACACTGACTCTGCACTTTCAGTTTGAAAGCTCCTGCCCCAACGTCCAGCTGATACCCACTGTACACTCTGCCGTGCTTCGACATATGCTTTTTTGCATACTCGTACAACCAGTCGTCTTCTTGCCCATATCTTTTTCACTTCCGGGATGTTCAGAATCTTGCACGTTGTCTCAAAAGATCTAAATTTTTTAGACAATCCAATATCAGCAATTGTTCGCTCGATGGTGCCTCCTGTCTATTGTTCTCCCTCACATGAGCTTCCAGCCATCGTATCGTCATCATAACTCCCACTATCACTATTGTTATGGGCCGTGATGAGTCTGGTAAACCCATGGAGAGCAGCTCTCCAGAGTCCCAGATCAACACCAGATTACTACGCTCGGGATACCACTATGTTTGCAGCAAGCAATGGCAGGGAAACTCATCATTTGTCAACACGATGCTCCTCCAATTACGCTTTCCCGAAGTAATGGTTCCACTTCCATCATCACCCGGTGGACTTCATCATTCTCGTCTACTGTATTGTAATCTGTAACGGTTGATCCTCTCTGTTTCTGTCTCTCAAAGTCACGGAAGTTCCCACTCACGCACCCCATGAACTTCCTTCCCAGTATTGATTCCAACTCCTCCTTTGTTCTCTCTGGAACTGCTGAGAACATTTTACACAAAAACTCGTAAGATTTTTCCGACATTCTAGCTAGTCTCACACACTTTGGCACTGAGAAGGCTTGATCCACGATCGTTCTCGTAATCTTTACATCCAAAGCTACAAAATGCACCGGGTATCTGCTCTTGCACATTGGAGCTAATGTCGATCCCACCAAATATCGTGCTCCTGATGGTCTACGATAAGTTTCACTGTGTCGGATGTTCATTTCCGTCTCAATCGCTTCCCTCCATTTTCCTATGTATTTTTGCTCAGTTTGCAGAACTCCTGGGAATACTTCTACACTGATGGCTGTGACCATCTCATGTTTCTGTTCTAGATTCAATAGTTACTCTAAAGAACCAAACATGCTGTAGAATCCTAGTGCAGTCACTAGATTCACCTCGGTTCCTCCATGGCAATCTGCGATCAGTTCCGTTTCCGTCCTTGTTTTCATCATAACGTTCCCAAACAATATCGTCAGCTGCTTGTGTTGCCTCTCTAGGGTTTTCACGCAACCCAGACTTCCACAAACGTGACCTTCCAGTCCGCAGACTTCTGCCAGACAGCTACCAGATTTGACCCAGTCTTCTGGTGCCCAGCCAGGCAACTCCACTTTATCTTCCCCGTTGCTCCTAGAGGCTGTTGTCATCACATTATATATGATGTTCAGGTCACGCAGGTTAATTTCTGCATTTAGTTCCCTCTGCACGTCTTGTGTCTCTCGTAGTATCGAGTCAGCATTGGGACTAGGACACCATGATGGTCTCATCAATTCCCACACTACCATCAAGCTCCTTCTCAGTAATTCATCTGAGAATCCCAATCCAAACTCCACTCGTTTGTCGGATTTTGGCACGGAAGGTGAAGTCACATTTTCTTCCAAGACTAATCCCAACTTGGTCTGCGGACTAGTAGCGCTTTTAATCGTTGCAATTCTCGACGTCCAGAACCTTAGCAACACTGCTTGCTCGTAATCAAAGAAGCAATCACGTATGTCTTCACTCAGGAAAGGGTTGTACGCTATCCCTATGACTCCGGACACGTAGCTGTATGACTTCTTTCTGATCGGCCCACAGTACTCGCTGGACTTCGGTAGTGCTCCCATAGATTCTTTAGTGAGTCTCAGCTCTTTGTTTGAGAATCTCCTGATTTCGTCTATTTTTCTCATGGGTTCTAGCTCTTCAGGTTCTTTCATGTTAACCCTCATCGGCTTGCTCTGATGCATATCCAGCAGTGCTAGCAAGAGTAAGGCTTTTGCTCGTTCATCACCCTCCCTCAGCATCTTGACACAGATGTTCAATGCTGGCACTGAAATCTGTTCTATCAGGAATCGAATGAAACAGAGAGCGTCTCTCCGCTTCGCGCACGCTACTGCCATTCCCTCCTGGATTATCAGATCCCTCAGTTCCCTTCCTGGTCCTTGACAGATACACCACCTCTCCTTTATCCTCCTGCGGTGTCATCTTGATGGGAGAATTTGCCTCACTTTCGTCAGTGGCTGAGTCAATCAACAACTCACTCAATCTGCCTTCACACTC